GCAACGATCCTCCTGCCTCAGCCTCTCGAGTGCTGGGATTACAGGCGTGCGCCACCACACCCAGCCTTAGGCTTTCAATCCTTATGGCCTTGGCCCCAGTGACCTTCGCCTCAGCCTCTGCTGGTCAAATATCCCCCTCAGCCTCAGCCACTCGGCAGACTCATCCCAGAGCTCCCTGCCCTCCGCCCTGCCAGCTCCCTTCTTGGCCACAGCCCTGTCCTAACATCTCACTATGGCATGGCCCTGGGACTGCCCTGGGTCTTGGCTTCAAGGGCAGTCATCTCAATCAGCTGAAGACACCACACTTCTCATCTCATTCTTTCCTTGACCGGCCCAGAAAAAAGCCCTCAGCCCTCAAATCCTAGTCATTGCCACATTAGCCAAAGAATAAGCAGGGACACTGGAGCAGGTGTTACAGGTTAGGGTTTTCAACATCGCTAGGCTTTTCTGACATTACCTGGAAGTCCCTTCACTCCCCAGGTGACTTCTTAGCACATTGCCCACGGCAGGTATTTCAGCCTCCACCACCCACTCCTGAGACCTTTATGCCACTCACAGCCACCTGCTTCTTTCTCTGCTGGTGCCCCAGCCTTCCACTCCCCCAAGGAAAGAGAGGCTCAGCTCTGCCTGAGGACCTCTTCTCCCCTCCGCCTCGGCCGTGCCTGGGCCTGTGCCTGTTTAGGGCCACCTTGTCCACCTGGCTTAGAGCCCCCCTGTCTAGTCAGTGCTGTTCCTGTCCACTTCCTGTCCTGGGTATGGAAACATCTGTTAATGCTGGGTCCCTTGCAAGCTACTCCTCTGTAACTCTCTTCATCATCAGGCTTCCTGTTTGTAGCTACAACAGATAGCATTTTAAAGGAATTCTCAAACTTCTGGCAGCTGTGAGGCAGGGCACACTTCCCCTCTTTCTGGGTCCTCTCTCCCAGTCACCCCTCAACCTGCCCTGATCTGGTTTGGGCCTTCGTGGCGTATGAAGAGTCCCCACAGGCCACACCCGTGAGCTCTGCTCTTCTGCTTTCGTGAGCGCCTCCCCTCCCTCTTAGGTTTGTGATGAGCTCTGCAGGGTTTGACCCTCATCCCCTTCTTTGCTGCTGTGCCCTTCATCAGAATGACCTAGCTCATCCTCTTACAGTGTGGGTGTCGACAACCCCAGAAGAGACACCTGCAGCCCCAGCCTTGCTCCTTTCCAGCTATGCCCTGCAGACACTTCATAGTCTTCAACTGGGCCAGCCCTTTCTACCCTCTACCCAGAGCCCCCACACCTGCCGAGTCCCGAGCACGGATCCCAGTCTATCTCAGGACTTGCAGCCGCAGGCTACCACCACCCTCTCCCAGACTGTGTCAGCCTCTGCCCAGCTTGCACCTTGCCTTCTCAGCTTATGGTCTTAAAAAAGTGAATATTTCACTTTCCAACCTGATTTTCAAATAGCAAGTAAGGCCTCTGTCTCTCCTTGCCTTGACTTCAGCCTCATCTCCCAACATTCTCAGAGGTCTCTGCCCAAACACACAACTCCCTACACACCCCAGGTCTTTCTTACCTTCCTGACTCTTTCTCCAAACTCCCACAGGCCTCCCCCTCCACTTAGCCTGACAACACTCAGGTTGCCACAAAAGCAAGCATGTTTTTCCTTTCTTCTCCGAAGCGTTCATTAACACCCCCCCTCCAAGAGTACCTCTCTCCTTTATGTGGGTGCTCTCAACACAAGTGCTATGTGTGTGATGTCACTCTCCTCCTTGGACAGTGAGCCCTGGCAGGTGGGGTGCAGACCCAAAGTGGGCACTGAGTAAACCTCTGTTCCTTCCCCCGTCTCACATCTGTGCTCAGCCCTAGCTCAGGTCCAGCAACCACAAAGCCCGCTGTGAATGTGTCAGACTCGCTTCCGATCCCCAGGCACCAGCTCCTGCATCCCCTCACCTGGACCCAGAGCTGGACGGCTCCGAGTGGCTGCTGTCCAGCGCTACGTGGAGCTGTTGCTGCAGGATTGGTTCCTCCTCAGTGGCCCTCCTTCCAGCCGCAGCCAGCCATATCTGGGGGCCCTCCTCCTCACTGGAGTCCCTGGAGAAGCCTCATCTCAGAGACTGCAAAGGCTGCTCCCACTGCCCCTACAGACTACAGTCACTGAAAGACTCACAGCTCTATGTCCAGGTCCCCCTGATAGGAGAGGGGAGTGGCGCACACAGAGCAGGTGTTGCCTAGGAGGCGGTAGCAGTCCTGGCAGTAGCGACCTGTAGAAGGCAGGAGAGAAGGGGAACTTGAGTTACAACCCCCGCCTCCCTGCTTTCCAGCCCCTCCTTCCCAGGCCCACCCCTGGAGGGACCAGCCTTGCGCTGCTGCAGTGCCCCTTGCATAGAAATCCTGTTCACAGCCAGAAAACCAAGGAGAGCAGGGAGGAGATGGGCTACCCGAGGGCCTCATGCAGGTGAAAGTATGCATATCCATGAAGGGAAGGGACAAAAAGCGAGGTAAGGAGAGGCTGATGGTCATATGCAGATATGGTGAGTGCCATCAAGGAAGGGATCTGCCCTGGTGGTCTCACGGCTCACCTTGGCACCCTGGCGTACTGCAGAACACAAAGCTCTCCAGGTCCCCTTTCTCTGGAGGCTGCCCACAGCCCAAGCAGTAGGGCTGGTGCGACTGAAACTGCCTGATAAATGGTCTCAGCCATGGGCACCTGAGAAGAGGCATCACACACAAGGGCCAGCCAGTCTAATCCACACCAGCATCAGCCTCAGAAAGATCAGAAGATTTCCTGCAGCCTAACCTCCATCTCTCCGCCTCTGGCAGCACCTGCTCTATTGCCCTGTCTTCCTTCTTCTCCTCACTCCCACTCCTAACAATTTTCATCCTGAATTCTGCCTCAAAGGGTGTGGAATGGGCACCCTCCTTAACCAAGCCTCTGGTCACCTAAAGAGGACAGTGGCCCCTCTGACCCCTGGCTCTTTTTCTATCTACTCTTGCCACACCCCCTGGGGAAAGACAGTTGGCTCACCAGATGGCCAGCTCCTGGGGGGCACTCACGTGACCCTGGTCAGCTGCCCGGCGCCTCACCGCTCGTTGCAGGTTGGCCTGCAGGTTAGTTCGGCGGCTTAGAAGCACGTTATAGAGGTAGGAGATCCTTTCCTGATGGGGGAAATCAGGGACAAGTCCCACCTGACCCTGTATGGTCTGCCAGGCTTGCCTCTGCATCCCTCCCTGCTTTTCTTCTATCCAACTCCTACAAATCCCTCCAGGCTTGCCTCAAATGACCTCACCTCTGGGAAGTCTTCTGGGCCTCCCTGGGTGGAATTACTCACTCCCTCCTCTGGATTTCCATACCACTTTATTTGTTCCTTAATATAAGTTCTTTTTAAAAAGTATAATGTCTCCTTAAAAGACAACCTGGCCTGCCTTGAGATGAGCCCCAGCCTATGTGGTTCGTCCTGGCATCCTCGGTGACTGGCACAGTGATAGGCTATGGTAGATGCTCAGTACGTGATTAGCAAATGAGTAGACAGAGGGTGAGTTTCCCTCCAAGCCCCAACATGCCGATACTGCTCCTGTCCTCTCTGGTTTTCTCAAGACTTTGGAGGTGAGCTTTGTGTCAGGAAGCCCTGCCCCAAGTGGCACCACTTCCCCCAGGCCCATCTGGGCCCCAGAGACCTGCAGTTCAGGTCGCTTGCTTTGGGGTTCAACCAGAGGAGAGAGGACTCAGCTGCCAAAGTCTTCTGAGCTCCCCAAAGCCAAGACAGCCAAGCTCGGCACCTGGGGCACGACAGGGACTGATATGGCCAGGGCCCCCTCACCTGTTCACGGGATGGGTAGTAGGAGGCACAGATGACCCGCCGGAGCCGGCTGACATAACCACCACACAGAGTGACAAAGAAGCACAGGCCGTACATGGCGCCTGGAGCACAGAGGTCCAGTGAGCACTGCTGCAGGCCCTCCTGCTGGCCGCAGCCCTCCCACCTGCTCCCGGCCCCCAGGGCCCTGGAGCTGTGGCCATACCGATGACTATGTAACTGGTGGAGTCTGGCTCTGAGGGCTGCAGGAGGCAGCGCCGGGACAAGATGCTGACATTGCCTTGCTGCAGGACATCGAAAGCTGACACCAGGTCACGGTAAATATTCCCTGTGTATCCTGTCCCTTCCACGGTTATGGTCACTAACACGGGGCCTGGTACAAAGACACTGGGTAAGGAGCGCACATGATAGGTGCCCGTTCCACTCCACATAAAATGAGCACGTCTGTGGAAGGCGGGCCATCCAGGTCATAGGCATGGCCCATACTCTCACCAGAAGCCTCTGATGCCCAAGCACCCTTGGGGTGCCCCAAGGCCTGACCTCAGTTCTGGACTCTCTGACTGGCTCCCTGATCTAGCTGGGCAGCACTGGTGTCCGGGCTGCCTGGCCAGGCCACCAGATCTGAGATTCACTCCACCCCACACTGCCCAGAAACACTTTATGTTAAGGCATTGGTGAGTCAGGCGTGGTGGTACATGCCTGTAATTATGGCTACTTGGGAGGCTGAGGCAGGAGGATCAAAAGTTTGTTTAAATTGCCCCTAGGCAATTTACAGAGATCCTGTCTCAAAATTTTAAAAAAGGGCTGGGGCTGGGCAAAATGGTGCACACCTGTAATGCCAGCACTGGGGAGGCTAAGGCAGGAGGATTGCTATGAGTTTGAGGCCAGCCTCAGCTACCTAATGAGTTCAACACCAGACTGAACTGCATAACAAGACCCTGTCTTGAAAGAAAGGAAAGAAGGAAGGAAAGGAAGGAAAGAAAGAAAGAAAGAAAGAAAGAAAGAAAGAAAGAAAGAAAGAAAGAAAGAAAGAGGGAGGGAGGGAAGGAGGGAAGAAAGAAGGAAGGAGAAGGAAGGAAGAAGGAAGGAGAAGGAAGGAAGAAGGAAGAAGGAAGGAAGGAAGGAGAGAGAAAGAAAGACACCAAACTGGGTGGATTTTTTAAAAAGGGCTGGGGATGTAGTTCAGTGTGAAGGCCCTAGTTCAGTCCCCACTACCACACACACACACACACACACACACACACACAGCATTGTGTACTGTGTAGTAGGCATTGGACCAATTGGGTGTTTGTTTTGGGCTTAGAGTTTTGTGTTTTATTTTTTCTGTCCTACTTCTGGTGCACAGCTTTACATTAGTTTTGTTCCTTGGCCCATGGCAGTCTTGAGCATGGTCTAGCAGCACCCAGCATATAGTCTCCTGTCCTTACAGTGACCCAGAGAGGTTGCCCCTTTGGTATCCCATTGTTCAGATGAGCAAACTGGCTCTGAGAGGTTACACAACTTGCTTGAAGTTACTGCCTGATAGAGGACAGGCAAGACCAGGATTTGAACACAGACTGGTCTAACATAGAGCTGATATCTTTATACTCTGTTCTGGGGGTTTTGTTTTGGTTTGGTTTTTTGTGTTGTGGGGTTTTTTTGTTTGTCTGTTTGTTTGTTTTTGAACTCACTATGTAACCCTTGAAGTCGCAGGGCTCCTTCTGCCTCAGCCTCTCCAGTGCTGGGATTACAGGCATGCCCCACCACACCTGGCCTCAGTTGCTCTGTATTGTCATGACCTTGACCTGGGTACAGGTATTACCGGGCAGATAGAGCTGGAAGAGGCTGAGTAGCAGTGACATGGGAACATCTGAGTAGTCCCCAAGACAGAGTGTGGGGAGGAGGAGAAGGCGGGGGAGGATACAGAATCAGGAAGGCCAGAGTGGGGTGCACTCGTGCATGGCATGCACTCACTGCGGGCCACTATCTCCCCTTGAAGCTGGTACCGGGCCAAGTCGAGCACCCAGAAGACAGCATAGTCCAGGAAGACCAGGAGAAACATGAAGACAAGGTGGCGCATCAGGCCGAAGAACTCCAGGATGTAAAAAATCTGCTCCCATTGGGACAGGAAGATGGAGTCTAGGGAGGTAGAGTGATCCGAGGATGGTCCCCAGTCCTCCCCTGCACTGGGCCCAGATCCCAAATGGGGTATGTGTTCCAGGGCCTGTTTGCTTTTGCAGAAGATGGAAAAGAGAGGCTGGGAGGACCATGGACAACAAGCCTGGGAATCCTTAGTGCTGAGGGGCTCAGTGGCTGGAGGTGCAGGCTTGGCAGCGCCCCTTGGGTCCAGCCAGTGGCCCAGCCAGTCTCCAAGACCTTCCCTGCCTGTGCCCAGCACTTGGGGTCAGGCGTGGGCTTGAGGGAGCCTTGGCCTCAGGCCCTCACCAGGCTGGATGTAATGTCTGGCCTCGTGGGCGCTGAGCGGCAGCACTGTGGGCAGCCCTGCCAGGGAGCGCACAGCCTCCTTGCGCAGGAAGCGGCTGGTGATGTAGATGTTGTCGAAATCATCCCAGTTCAGGTAGGCGTACCGGTAAAACAGGGCTCTAGAGGGAGAGCGCACAGGAGGCCTCTGGCACCTGGGTCAGGCTCTCGGGGAGCCCCACCTGGCCCTCAGCCTCCCGGGATGCCAGGCTGAGCTGGCCTTGCAGCCCTCACTGGAGGTAGAGGAGCGAGAGCAGCAGAGGCGTGGTGTAGCCCATCAGAGCTAGGGCCTCCCTGAAGCTGTGCAGCTTCAGGCTGATGGCCTCGTGGAGGTCCAGAGCCACCTGGGAGAGGCTTCGAGAGGCATTGAGGTCCACGGAGAAGTAGTGGGTGACTGTCATGTTAAACTCAAACTCCTGACGGACTCGGTTGATAAGCTTCATCACAGCTGAGGCCAGCAGGAGATGTGAATGGGGAGAGTTAGCAGGGCTGAGCTGCAGGCGTCAGGGGCTGTCACAGCCCAGGGGTCACAAAGTTTGCCAGAACCCTGAGGGCTTGGGCCTGCTGCGGACTGGGAAGAGAGTGGGACCTCCACCAGCACCACCGCCCGCACACGCTCAGCATTATATCTGGCACACGACAGAGGCAAATAAGGATCTATCTGTATGTCCTGTGCTTGGGGGAGGTGGCCCTGGTCCTGTGTTCAGCTCCTGGTCTAAAGTCTGGCTTTGCTCAGGTACCTCTCTCTCCTTCACTGGGCCTCAGCTTCCTAATCTGGACAGCATGGACATCAATGGGGTTAACCTCGTGAGGCCCTTTCCTGCTTTTCTTTGTTTACAGCCTAACAGGGGCTGGGAGGTGCCACTCACGGATGCCGATGGTCCTTCGCAAGAAGGGCTGGATGTACTTGGGGATGATGCAGAACACCTGGACCACTGAGAGCCGAACCAGTGTTGGGAGGAGGGGCAGAGATAGAGCTGCCCCAGCCCGCTCTGGGACCCGCTTCTCACAGGACTTCCCAGTTTTCCTACTGGCTTCCTCCTGTTCCCCCAACATTACCCCCCTCCACCGCACCCCCTCCCTCCTCCCTGCCATGAGCCCTCGGCTTTCTCACAGCTGGCGAGTCCACACAGCACCAGTTTGAAGGGCACAAGCGTGTAACACAGGTGGTAGGCTTGTGGTATGATCTTCATGCAGTTGTCTTTGGCGTCATCAAAAACCCGCGCACACTTTGAGTAAGGGTTGCCCAGCTCGGAGTTGCAGACGTCACCGATGTGGAGGAGCCAATACCACACATTCCTCAGGGCCCTGGCTGGGGACAGCTGAAGGGCTGGTACCCAGGGACAGAGTCCCACAGCCCCTCCTTCTCTGGGGTGCGGGGAACATCAGCCAGCACCCAGGAGGCCAGAGCAGTCAGGGACAGGAGTAGGGGCCAAGACCTCCAAATCCAGCCAGGCCATGAGCTCACCCACGTGCTTCACGCCATCCATGATTGAGCGAAAGAACTTGCGGATCTGGTCAGCCACCACTTTGGCCTTGCGGGCAATAGCTTTAATCTTGTTCAGAGCACCTGTGAGAGGGGGCAGGGACACCGTGGGGCCTCCTCCAGGTTGCAGGGCCAGTTCTCGCCATCGCCCCTGCTAGGGAGGGGAGAGGGAGGTGGGGAGCCTGGCGGAGACCGCAGAGCCAGGACACAAGGGTTTAGTTGGGCCCCAAAGTCTCTTTCAGGGCTGGGGGCTTGGAGGCTAGGACACAGGAATGGGGTGAAGCACTGCAGACCATGCAGGGTGAGGGGACGCTGGGGCCCGTGGGAGATGGAGTTGGGGCTTACTGACGAGGGGCTGCTTGGCCTGCTCCAGCACCTCCGCAGTCTGGTTCAGAGCCAGCTCCGCCCCACAGGCCACAGCCTCACTGGCCAGGGAGAAGTTGTGCAGAGTGTTGGCACAAGGCCCCTGGAGCACCACCCCAAAGGCAGCCACCAGCAGCAACATCCGGCCATGCCCTGCGGAGACAGCCCTGAACATAGCAGCAAGACCCTTGTAGACAGCTACCCCTGCCCCGGGACCTGCCCCAGGACCTGCCCCAGGACGTGCCCCTCGCCCCTCAAGCCGGGCTCACTGGAGAAGGCCTGGGGCAGCATCAGAAAGACAGTGGCTCGGACCTGGCGGGAGAACCCCATGCCCAGGCTAAGGAAGGCAGCCAAAGTGACGGTGCCCACCAGGCAGCCCCAGGGGCTGTGCCCCTCCACCAGCAGCTCCAGAAGCCCATAGGCCGTGGCCAAGGACAATCCCAGGGTGAAGCCACCCACACTGCGGACCAAGGCCCGGGCCATGCTAGGCTCCTCTGCCTCCAGGGGCAGCACCACATCCCCCATAGCTTCGGGCACGGCTGTAGGGACTGAGGCCCCTGTCTCTAGGAGAAGCCCCAGGTTCTGAGGTCCTGGAATTCCTCACCCTATCCAGAGATTCCGGAGGGCTTTGGCTGTGTGTGTCTCACAATCCCTTACCTGTTCCGAGGGTTGGAGAGGGAGAGTGGGTCTCCAGTCTTCTCCCACATCTCAGAGCTAAGGGACTGAAAGACAGATCGGACAGGGGCTGGGAGTGAGGGAGGATGGCCCCTCCCTTCTCTCCCAGGATGGAACTTCTAAGGAAAGCCTTGAGGAGACTTCTGGGACCACAGAGGTTTCCACAGAACAGACCTCAGGACGCTAAACACCGTCAGAGTGGAGCAAGAGGGCAAAGAAGGAAACCAAGCCATACCAGTGAGATGGACACCAGAGAGCCCTTCCCAGCACACCCTCCTTTCAGCCTCTTTTTTTTTTTTTTTTTTTTTTTATGTGTTTTAGAGACAGGGCCTCAGTATATAGCTCAGGCTGGCCCCAAACTCCCTGGGATTGCAGGCCCACAGCACCACACCTGACTATTATTTTGTTTGGAAACAGGGTCTTTTTATATTTTAAGACAGCATCTATCTGGCTTTTTTAGTTCAGGCTAGCCTTGAACTCACTATGTAGTCCAGGCTGGTGTCGAACTCACAGCCTCAGCCTCCCAAGTGCTGGGATTACAGGGTGCACCACGACACCTGGCCTTCTTCTCTTCCTCACTCCTGTCCCATTTCGTTGAGATTCCTTATTCTCCTCCAGGGTCCCCCAGCTTACCCCAAACATCCTCCAGTTTCCCGCAGCCCCTTCCCCCCTCAAGCCCCTAACCCTAGTGAGCCTAACCCAGCCAGCACAGAGGGCTGTGAGCCTAACTGCTCACCTCTCAGCTGTGCAGAGACTTCTGAGCTGGGGGCTGCCTGAGCTCTGCAGCCGGTTCCTGTGGCGCCAGCCAGGAGAGTTCCCTGTCACTGCCTTCCTGCTGGGGGCCGGCACTGGGGGGCTCCTGGCCATAGGTGAGTGTGGAAGCAAAGGATGGGGGGGACAGGGGCTGGAGCGGGATTGAGGCCGAGCCATAGACCTTCAGCTTCACCCCGGGCCCCCAGGTCTCTTTCAGCTCCTGGTGAACCCCATGAACATCTATGAAGAGCAGAAGATGGTGGTGTTGTACGGCTTGGTGGGTTAGTGCCAGCCCGAGACCCGGGTGTGCGAGGCCTGGGGAGCGTGGGTGCCTGGGGGAGTCAGAGCTGTCATTCCCCATATCAGCGCCTCGTGCCTTCAGCCTCCTCTTGGGCTTTAGGGGAAATCCAGGGGAATGAGGCCCCAGCCTAAGATGGCAGAGGCCTTGTCTTCAGTGAGTCTCCCCAGTTTGAGGGGCACCCCACAATCCAAATCCCACCACCCTTCCTGACCTCTCTGGGTCTGGAGGTAGAGTTCTTGTCTACCAGGCACAGGGGCCTGGGTTCGATCCCATCCCCAGAACCACAAAACAGAGAAGGGAGAGACAGAGAGAGAAAAAGAGGGAGGGAGAAGGAGAGCGAGAGAGAGAGAGGATTTCCGATGGTGACAGATGGCATGAAAAATGACCAGGGATGTGTAGAACGTGGCTGGGGCTAGCTAGAGCGGTTAGGGAAGGCTTCTCAGAGAAGGTGACTTTGTGGGCTGGGAGATGTAAGCACCTGCCACTGCTTTATCTCCCCAGTCAAAGATGAGATTTGAATGGAGATCTTTGGCTGCAAGATCAGAAAACTCACCTAAAAAAGTGGTTGAACCATAGAACAAATTTATTATCTCATAGAACAAAAATCAAAGTAGAGTGGTTTTGGAGTTTGGTAATTCAATAGTTCAATAATCCATCAAAAAAACCAGGTTCCTTCTGTCTTTTCTCTCCTCCCCCTGCAGTGCAGCCTGTCAACCACTCCTCTTCAGGTCACAAAATGGCTGCAACAATTCCAAGCATCACATCTTTTTTTTTTTTTTTTTTTTTTTAGTATGTCTTTGCAATATGTAATAGTTGCGTTCATCTTGGGACGTTGGTACATATACATATGGAATCTTGATCATTTTACTCACCCCACTCTCCTCTCTTCCTTCTTCCCCAGATACTTTTTCCACCTCTACAGAGTCACCCTCCCTGTTTCTTACCATCTCTCTTTTATTTTCATCTTTAAATTGTTTATAGGTTAGGTCTCTCATATTAGAGAGACCATGTGATATTTAATCTTGTGTCTGATTTATTTTCTGTTTTGTGTTTGCTTTGGTGTTTTGATGTTTCTGTGTTTGTTTTTTGAGACAGGGTCTTGCTATGTAGCCTGTGTCGGCCTTGAACTCATGGCAATCCTCCTGCCTCAGCCTCCCAAATGCTGAGATTATAGGCATGTATCACCATGCCTGGACTGTTTTTTGTTTTTCTTTTTTTTAGTATGAGTTTTCAGTACATAATGATTGCATTCGGGGCTGGGGATCTAGCTCAGGGGCACAGCACCTTGTTTGGCAAGTGCAAGGTCCTGAGTTCGATTCCTGGCACCAAAGCATAATGATTGCATTCATCGTGGGGAGCTGGTGCAAGCACATAACACATCTTAATTCTTTTCATGTTCCCTTCCCCTTCCCTCCTTCTTCCTTCCCTCTGTTTCTTGGCCCCCTTTCTATTAGATTTATTTCATTTACTATCATGATCTCAAGAGCCATCCATTTTCCTACAAATGACTCAAATTTATCTGTATGACAGAGGTATTCCATTGTGTAAGCACCACATGTTATTTCCATTCTTCTCTTGATAGACATATCAGCCGCTTCCATAATTTAGCTATTGTGATTTGTCCTGCTGTAAACAGGGGTATACATGTGTCATTGTAACATGATGACTTTAACTCTTTCAGGATGATACCCAGAAGAGGTATAGCTGGGTCAAATGGAATTTCTAGTTTTGGTGTTTTAAGGACTCTCCATACTGATCTCCCTAGTGGTTGCACCAGTCTATACTCCCACAGAAGGGTTCCTTTCCCTCAGAAACCCCCAGTTGTTTTTTGTTCTTGATGCTGACCATTCTTGCTGGAGTAAGGAGTCAGTGCTGTTTTTGTTTTCTTTGTTTTTGTCTGTTTGAGACAGGGTCTTGCTATGCAGTTCAGGCTGGCCTTGAATTCACAGTGATCTTCCTGCCTCAGCCTCCCAAGTGCTGGGATTACAGGTGTGCACTACCACGCCTGGCTAGTGCTGTTTTGATTTGGATTCCAGGCACCACATTTTCACTTACAAAATGTCAAAGACCAGAAAGGAAAGGAAGGAGCCTCCCTTCATCACACCCTCTGAAGGAACAGGGGATGTTCCCTACAATCTCAGCAGGCTTCCTCTTATATCTCTGGCCAGGGCAGCATCAATCTACTGTTCCCTGAACCTGCTGGATTCAGGTGAGCAGAATCCCCAGTTACGGGAATAAGCTGGAGTCTTGGGCCAGGAGGCTCTTTCTCTGGCCACAGTACTCACACGTGGTCCCCACTGCCACCTTCCACGCAAACCCTTAGCTTTCTGGCTGTTTTCCTCACGAAGACCCAGCCTCCTTCAGTTATCATGATCTACTTGGGAGCGAGGTGGCCCAGTCTCCACCGCAACCACTTCCAACCTCGCACTTTCCCCAGCATCTGCCTCCTCGATGCCTCTCACCCGGCTCTCCAGCCCCAGCTGTGGAGAAGCCGTACCCTCTCACTCGCTTTCTCCTCTACTCCCTTCCCTTTCTGGTTCTTCTGACGGCAGAAAGGGGATTTGAAGAATGAGAGGAAAAGGGACGAAGACTGCAGCCACCGATGCTGTTGTTCTGATTGCACCTCTAGTGCTCCCCGTGAGGCAGGCACTCAGCCCGGCTGTCCCTTCTGAGGCTCTCTGTGGACCTCAGCCCTGGATTCCCATAGAGGGCAGATAAAGCCTCTTAGCTCCTGCGGGCAGCTATGGCCTCTTCCTTGGGGACCCCGCACCCCAGCAGACTGCCTGGCACACAGGCAGCTCCAGACCTGATGCCTTCCAAAGTGCCCACTTGTCCCTGAGAAAATGCACGCGTCCTTGCCTGCAAAGCCACGGGAGCCACGCGTCGCCCGGCTCTGATGAGAAGCAGGCTCCGTGCAGGGAAGGCTGGGGTGGCTCGCAGGCTCTGCAGCACGGGCTCCCGGGGTCTCTCACTGACACATGACACCCATTCTCCCCACAGACCTCCTCCTGTGCCTGCCTATGCCAACCACTTGGCTCCCTTTTCCAGAAAGTCCACATTTCTGTTCTGCTTTTGTAAATTGGTGGCGTAGAGGAGAGAAATACTTTCTGCTGCTTTGCTCAGCCTAAAACAGATACCCAAAGCTCCATGGGGTTCTGTTAAAATGTAGGGCAACTATTGGTCAACTATTGTCCTCAGCTGGAGTCTTTGGCCAGAAGGCCAAGACCACAAAACAAGTCCCTTCCAAAGTCCTGTAATACCATGGTTGGTTAAGACAGATCCAGACTCACCCCCAAGGGCTGGGGCAGGACCGGGCTGTTGGCCTTGAACAAAACCCAAGTTGTGTTAGTGAGAGAGAAGGCAGAAAAAACTGCTGGGTGGCACCAGACAGGGTTGGCCACAAACCTGTAGGACTGGGTGGAGCCGCTCGGCCCAGGAATCAGGGAGGAGCGCTCCTGCCTGCAGCCTGAGGTGCGGCAGGGCAGGGCAGTGGAAGAGAGGCTGGCATGCTACAGGAACTGCCGCGGGGCCTGGGGGTGCATGTAGGGGGTCAAGGGCGAGGAGCCTGCTTTCAGAAGGGGGCAGCAGCCAGGTCCTCAGGACCTGCAGGTGGGCCTTGTTAGAGGAGTTTGTCTTTTATCCACCAAGTACAGTAGCAAGTCACTGGATGATTTGAGTCAGGCAAGGGACGTGACCCGATTTATGCTTTTACACAATTGCAGTGGCAGTCCATTTTTTTTTGTTATTCTGAGAACTGAGGATTAAACCCAGGGAGCACTGAGCTCCTTTTTAAGAACAAATTATTTTGAGGCAGGGTCTCACTGAGTCACTGAGTTGCCTGGGCTGGGCTCAAGTTTTCAGTCCTCCTGCTTCAGCCTCCTGGAGTGCTGGGATTACAAATGTGGCTCCACACCTGGCCACTCTGGCTGCTTTGTACAAATTGAAGTGCAAGAGAAAAAGTAAAGAGACTAGTTCTAGGCCAGGGGCTAGAGGTGTGGTTCAGTGGTACAGTGCTTGCCTAGCATGGGCAAAGCCCTGGGTTCCCTCCTGGGTTCCGTAAAAACAGCAAACAGTCTAGTCCCAGTGAGAGATGATGGGGACTCTCGAGCACAGTGAGGTGGCCGGAAGTGCAAGGACTGGGGAGCTGCTGTGGCGATCCTTGAGCAAAGGGTTTGTCAGTGCTGCGTCACCTGCCTCCTGACCAGCTCCGGCTCTCCTTTGGCCTGGATGCCATCTGCGCTTCCCAACAACATTCACTCATCTTCAGGGCCAGGTTGACACACCGGCTCTTTGTCCAGCCTTCCCAGCCCCACCCCTCCCTGCACAAATCCCACGCCTGCCTCGGCTCCCGGCTCCCCGTAAGCCCCTCCCTGGTGCCCCGTGCACATGGTGTGGTAGTCATCTGTTTACTTGTCTGTCTCTCTCTGGGTTACGACTTCTAGGAGCTCACTGTCTCCTTGCAGAGACCACAGGAAGACATCACGAAACTGCTGCAACATACAACAGCACATGATTTGGGGCTAACAGGAGCGGGGAGACTGAGTGCCACAGGTGTCCGAGCACTGGGAAGGTCAAGGTGGTCTCTGACCTCTTGGACCCCCCCACCAAGCAGCAGTGCCTATTTCTAGAATTTTCCTCTTGCCTACTCTCTTACCTCATCACTTAGGATAAGAATGAACCCAACCTGGATGCGTTGGCTGCCTTCCCTGACACAAACTTGCACACTCATACACGCGCACGTATGCACGCACACGCACCAAGCACTGGCCATGACTCTCCCATCCGTAGCCATCTCTCCATGCCAGTCCAAAGACTGGCACACAGTTGAACTTGGAAAGTGGCTGCTGAATGTGTGAATGGATGGTCCTGTTTACAGGGAGGAGGGGCCCGCGGGGGCCGGGGCAGGGGGCTCTGGTAAACATAAGTGTCAGCTTCTTCGCTTTGCCTCACTGCCTACTTCCTGGGCTCTCCTGACAGGTTTGGGGGCCATAGGTTGGGGGACCTCCCCTCACATCCGCTGTGCCAGCCTCCTGCTCGTGCCTAAGATGCTGGGCAAAGAGGGTAGGCTCTTTGTCCTGGGATATGCCTTGGCTGCCATCTATGAAGGTGAGTGCATCGACATGTCCCTGAGTGCTGGTTAGTCACCCTGAAGCAGTGACCCCGGGTGGAAAAGGTAGGGGTCTAATCCCAGCTGCTCCAGTTTGCTGTGTCCTAAAGAGAGCTCCTCCCCATCTCTGGGCCTCCTTAGTTTATACAGGGGAAAAAGCCCAGGGTTAAATGCAAAGAATTCTCACAAGCTTACTCAGTCCCCTCGTTGTACAATCCTGGAAGGTGTTCACTGCATGCAGAGAAAGGGTTTGAAGTTCTTGCCTTACACAGCAGTAACCACCGCCTCCTCTTCCAGGGCCAGTGGCCAATCTGAAGCACAATCTCAACGAAGTGGTAGCATCGCTGGGCTGCACCGTGGAGCTGCAGATCAACAACACCCGTGCGACCTGGCGCATCTCCACGGCCCCACTCCGGGCAGTGTTCAAGGACCTGTTGGTCAGGAGCCTACGTGTCCCTCTCCTGGGGCTGAGTTCACTTGAGCTAAGAGCTGGAACCCTGGATGCATTTTCCCAATGGGGACACTGCTGGCATTTTTTGCAGAATATGCCTGGTCCTCGGGCACCAAATGCCAGGAGAGCACCCCCAGTGGTTGGGACATACCCCACATCCACTTCCAAATATCCAAGTGGGCGGTACCCTGGGCAGCTGAAGGAGGGTGATAGGAAAGCAAGCGCCTTAGGCTTTGAAAGCCAGGATTGGGGTCCAGCAGGCAGGGGTGCATTGGAGAGGCGGGGAGTTGGGAGATGGGGGCTGAGGGCTTTGGGAGTTGGAAAGGTTCAGATGGCACAGTGATCTGGGGTGAAATCCAAGGGCCTGGAGAAGCACTGACTGATTAGAAAGGATCTGGGATGGGAGGTCCAAGGAGGAGCTGAGGGCCTGGGAGGAAAGCGTGACAGCTTGGGAGAGGTGACTGGCCCCACACTGTGAATGGCGGGGATCTGAAAGGGAGAGGCTGTGTCTCTGGCCAGCTCCCCATAAGCCCAGGAAAGATCCCAAAGGTTGGCATGGGCAGAGAACAGGCTGGAGTGAGGGTAGCAGCTCTAAACAGTCATCCTTCTCCCTTGCACCCTCTTCCCCCTTTCCTCCCTTCTTGCTTCCCTGCCCGCTCCAACCCAGGGCAGCAAAGAATCACTGAAAGCAGAGACTCGGAACATCTCCACTGCCTTTAAGGACCTGGATGCCCAGGTGAGCAGTGAGGCTGGCTACGAACCTGAGACTGCCATGGACTCCCAGGGGACAGCCCAAGGTGCAGAGGCCCGGAAGGCCCCCAGCACTAAGCTCCACCTGTCAACCCAGAAGATGTTCGAGCTGAAGACCAAGCTGCGCTGCTCCTGTGAGGGGGCGTCCCTGGGCAGGCAGGGTGGGGCAGGCCAGGGCCAGGGTCCAGGTCGGGGCACAGAAACCTCAGACACCCTTGCTTCTTCCCACAGACGTGGTGAACCGGGCTATTCTCAACTGTCATCAGTGGTTTGACCGAAAGCATGAACAGTGCATGCAACGCATCTGGGTCCCACTCCTGAACCACTTGCTCTGCCTGCCAATGAAATTTAAGTTCTTCTGTGGCATTGCCAAGGGTCAGCACAGTGGCAAGAGGGTGGGGTGTACCAGGGTTAGGGAGCCAAGTCCTCGGGGACCACGATAGGTGTGGTGCAGGAAAGCCATTGGCAGGAGGGCTTAGGCTCTGTGGACACAGCACCCTGCGGCCACCATCTATGGCTGTCGAGTGACCCTGGTGAACGGAAGCAAAACTCTGAGCATCATCTCTTCAGCTCAAAGAGGGCACAGTAATGGGACTTATCCGTTAGGGGTCCTGAGGATTATGAGGATGATGCTTATGCAGGGACTAACGGGGCTGGCACGCAGGGGAGCCACTCCATAAATTTTGGCTGTCGTCAGTGTTTCTTGTGGTTAGGGACAGGTGAAAAAAATGACAGCAGGGATCAGGCCTGGCTTCCGGGAGGAAGACTGCAGAGACAGTGACAAGGGGAAGTCATTATGGTAGAAAGTCACGGCCAGAGAGACAAGAAGACCAAATGAAGCCAGACCTCGTGGCACATGCTTGCAATCCCAGCCCTCTAGAATTGTGAGTTAGAGCCCAGCCTGGAAAACAGTAATTTAGCAATGCCTTGTCTCAAAATTTAAAAAAATAAGGGCTGGGAATGCAGCTCACTGCAGAGGCCCTGGGTTCCATCCCCAGTATTACGGGGAGAAAAATAGCGAGATGAGGAGCCTCCCAGGAGCACACGCAGCCCTCCAGGCAGAAGCCCTGACCTGGCCCAACTGTCCCCAGTGATGGAGGTTTGGTGCCGCAGCCGTATCCCGGTGGAGGGCAACTTTGGGCAGACCTATGATTCCCTCAATCAGTCTATTCATGGCCTGGATGGAGAATTTTCAGCCAATATTGACATCAAGGTAGGGGCACTGGTGGGGTGAGGGGAAGGTAGGGAGAGGAGGATGGCATTAGGGACAAGGAGGGTGTGGGGGAGATCACCCAGCCTGTGGGTGGAATGGCGAGCCAGGTGGGAGGTAGTGTAGGTGCAGGGAGCAGGACTAGCACACAGGGTGGTCAGCAGACAGAGTGACACCTTCTGAAGGTCCTGGGGACCTGGGGACATGAATGGGATGCCCAGTCTGGTGCCTGAGTACACCCATGTGTCTCCCAGGAGGAGAAGCAGGCTGGGGTGCTGGGCCTCAACACGACCTGGGAGCACGTGAGCACCGAGGTGCGGGACTACGTGGAGCGGCAGGAGGCCCAGCTGGAGTGGGTCCTCGGGCTGTTGCATGCACTGCTGTCCTGCACCTTCCTGCTGGTCCTCCGAGCGTGAGCTGCACCCCCACACCCGCAGCCCTGCCCCTACCCCTGCCCCTGCCCTCACAGGGGTGGCCCGCCCTGAGAAAGCCTGGAAGACAGAGTGCAGACCCGATCACCAGCTCTGAATGTGAAAGCTAATTTGCCTTTAACTTGACCTTTTTATTAAGTTGGGTTTGTTTTTTACATAAAGTTACAGGGCGCATGGACATTTTGTTGGAAGAAACGTTACTCATGTTCCCATAATCTTAAAAGGGCAACGGTCTCCATTTATCTACCTCCTTCCAGCCTTTATCCTCATACTTTTTTTCACATTTAGCTTTGACTTTTGATTTTTTCTTGCCCTTCATATTCCCCTTGGCTCTGACTTTGTGCCATTTTTATCATTCAATTTTGCTTTCATTCCCTCCTGCCTGCTGTGTTGGCAGATACTTTCCTTCCATTTAGAACAAAGTTCTCAACTCCACCCAGCCTGGCGTCCAGCTGGGCCGCCTGGGCCTCACTCTGTTCTCATTTCCCCGTTGACTTTCTGAACCCCTGAGTCTCTGTCTTCATGCCATTTCCACCCCAAGTGCCAGATAGGGGCTGGGCCAGGGCAGCCACAGGGCCCTTGGTCAGTCGGCTCCTGTTTCTGGGGCAAGGGAGTGGGTCTGTATGTGCCTTGTGGGAGGAGAACGAGGAAGGAAACACACTCCTGCCCACAAGATACTCTTGGTCTAGTTGGGGATGAGGGAGACACCCACAGACAGAGGCGTCCAAGAGCCACGCTATGGACTGGCCATCAGGACAGGTGTGGAGCTGAGGCGGCACCCCTGGGACAGCCAGACCCAGGTTCCAAAAGGCCCAGTGGGGCTCCACAGTCAAGAAAAGGAAGGGTGGTATCTTGGGCAAGGATCTTGGCATCTGCAGGGTGGAGAGAGAGACAGGGTAGAGTGGGCCAAAGTGGGCATGACCAGAAGGATTTGGAAAGCCCTGCAGGGAGGCCCTGACCTGAGGTAGTTACAAGATGGGCTGTGGCCCATGGGAAGCAAGGAGGCCTGGCTAGCTCAGAGTTAGCCTGGCTGTGGTAGGGCGGAGATGGACGGAGGAAGGGGGAAAGTGCAGCAGAGCTAGCTTGGAGTGGGAAGGAAGGAGTCATGGAGTCCAAACCTACTTCCAGGCTTTGCCGCCTGGGTAAGGTGAAGGGACTCAGTGAAGGGACAAGGGCGGCAGGAAGCCTTAGCACGACAGCAGTAGGTCTCTCCACAAGGGGGCGCTCCCAGTCTGTCTTTGCATTCCGGGTTATTTCTATCTCACAGAGATGTAGATTTTTACAGGGTCCCAGAACCAATAGCGTTGGAACTTATGTTTCACACTTTACAGAGTTTATTTAATGTATTTTTACAGTTTTCAACACATTTCCAACAATTAACATTTTTCCTTAGGAAACGAAAGCATTATGTGGGACTTTGGGGAACACATGGAAGATAGCTATACACACACACACACACACACACACACACCACTCTCACGCTCAGTGGAGGGGCAGGGCTGTTGGGGAGGCGGGAGATGGTGGCTTGGGGTGAGTTTTGCCTGATCCCCTTGCCCCATGTGCTGTAGGTACAGCCTAAAGGCCCGGACTGGAGGGGCAAAGTGGGAGTCAGAGCATAGGGGGAGATTCCTGAGGTCTGAAGAGGTTTCCTAGCCTTGGCCTCATGCCTCCATCCACAACCACTCGCAAGGGCCCATCCCCTTACATCCAGCACTTCCACCACACAGCTGGAAGGCAGGGGTGGGCTCTTGGGCCCTTGTCACCATTGCCTGGCACTGCCCCTTAGACATGGGGTGTGCAGTGAATCCTGGTTGGCCTTGTGCCCCAAGAGCCTGATGGCTGGGTTGAGTGAGCAGTTCCTACCAAGAGAGATTTTTTTTTTGTTTTTTTGTTTGATTGTTTTTTGTCTTTTCGAGACAGGGTCTCACTATGCAGTTCAGGTTGGCCTTGAGCTCACTTTGTAGCCCAGGCTGGTCTCAAATTCACAACAATCCTCCTGCCTCAGCCTCCCAAGTGCTGGGATTATAGGTGTGTGCTACCATGCCCAGCTATCAAGACAGATGAAGACATCCCCACCATCTGTTCCCAGGTCCTTCTCCTACATGGACAGCTATAACCAGGACATTCGCTTTGACAACATCTACATCAGCACCTACTTCTGTCAGATCGATGAGCGCAGGAAGAAGCTGGTGAGCGAGCACAGCTCTGCCTAGGGGCGTCATTTTATGGACTCATGCTCCAGGAGGACCAAGGGGAGAGGGCGGGGGCCTTGGGAGGCCCTATGTGGACAGTTCTTCTTCAGGGTAAACGGACTCTGCTGCCACTCCGTAAGGCTGAGAAGAAGAGCCTCATCTTCCCCTGCAAGCCCACCATCCAGGCCTCGGAAATGAGCAGCTTGGTGAGGAAGTGTGGGCAGCAGGCCTGGGGCACAACGGCAGGCGTGACTCTGAGGGTGGCAAGCCCAGAGCACCGGGGTTCTCTTGCAGGCACGGGAGCTCCTGGAGACGCTGCCCGTCCTGCTGCTTCTGCTGGTGCTGTGTGGGCTCGACTGGGCCCTCTACTCGGTCTTTGATACCATCCGCCAACACTCCTTCCTGCAGTACTCCTTCCAGAGTGAGTCTCCTCTCCTGCTCCCCTTCCTGTGACAGCCCTCCCTGCCCTCCCCAGGGTCCAGTCTCAGCCCAGCAACCAGACAGCTCTCACCGGGGAACTACAGCTACCCCTTTACCTTCAGACAGGGAGGGGTTGGGATTGGCAAAATCCTAGAAAGACCTATACAGCTGAGTTTTCCTATCTCTGTGGCTTGACCCCCACCGACAGCTGACATCCTGCCCACCTTAACGCCAGCTCTCTCCTGACTCCTCTATCCCCATCCCGGCCCCAGGCAGTCATAAACTGGAGGTGAAGGTGGAAGGAGACTCCATGCTTGCCCGGCTTCTTCGGAAGACCATTGGGGCCCTGAATACTTCTTCAGACACAGGGGTGGAATCAAACAACATGCGTGAGTGACCCTGAAAGTTTAAGAAACTGAGTACTGGAGGCTAGAGTTAGTGGAGTCCAAGGGAAGGGTTGGGTGGGGGCGGCAGGCCTTGGTGAAGGAGAGATAGTGCCTGGCCTGTTTGAGGTGGGGAAATCACAGCCCAGACTATATGAGGGAGCAGTTTGGGTCAGAGAAGACCCACACTGCTGGGGCTGGGGCCTTGGCATCTGAGGGTCAAAACCCTCTAGAGCAGCATTGTCCGACAGAGCCTCCTGCCGTGATAATTTCCAAGATGTGTTCCACCTAAGGCCTGGTGGCTGCAGTACCGGCTCTATAGCTCTGCAGGTTAACAGGCCAGCAGGGGGACAGCAGGGAAATCAAGGTCTACCCTGCATCTCCGGCTGGGGAGCTTAGGAGTTCAGCCAGGGCTCCCTTGAGCAGCCTGCCTGCCCCAGCCCGTGGGCCTGGATGCCAGGGCCTACTGGAAGGTCACTTACCCCATCGGCCTGCTGCTGTGTCTCTGCCTGGCCCAGGCTTTTGGCTACCGGCTCCGGAGGGTCATCGCAGCCTTCTACTTTCCCAAGGTGTGCCCCCAGAACGTCCCGCCCTGCACACACATAGCTCCTACCACCCCCATTTTCCTCCCTGGCACTGTCTCTACTGTTGAACAGTCCTCTCTGTCCCAGCGAGAGAAGAAGCGGGTCCTGTTCCTCTACAACGAGCTATTGAGGAAGAGAGCAGCCTTCACGAAGCTGAGGCGGGCTGCTATCGTGAGGCGGGCCCAGCAGCAGAGGGCTCCAGTAAGTCCAGGCCCCTGCGAACTGTGGGAAAGGGGCATCGCCCGGCATGCACCTGTAGGCCCCGCCTGCTGGAGCTCAGTCTGGCCCAACACATGCCAGGGGCCCTGGGCCTCCAGCTCCAGAGCTCAGGACAGTGTTCCCCTCTGTGCCCCAGGGTGCAGCTCAGCCTGAGACAATCAGTGGACCATCAAGGAACAGGAGGAAAGCAGAACTGACTTGATACAGTCTGGCCAAGGAAACAAAAGGGGCCCATGACACAGCTACAGGTTCTCAAAGGGCACTGCAGGCAAGATCAGGGCAGCTGAGAGGAGGGGAAGGAGGCAGGTGGGCTGGGGCCAGGAAGGCTTTGTGCAGTCACAGTCAGGAGAACCATGTTCCAGTCCACACTCCCTTGTTAAGCTATGTGACCCTAACCAAGGTTCTCCCAGGCCTCGGTTTTTTCCTCCGAAGCATGGGGAGATTGGACTGATCTGTAAGGCCCTCTAGCTAGGAACCAGAAGGTCTGGGTTTGAATCCTTGCTCCTCCTCTTAGTGTGACAACTGTATGATCTTAAGCACTTTAACTGCTGTGCCTCGGCTGGTCTTTCCTGTTCTCTAAAACGGGGCCAACTACTTCATCTTCTTGTTGTAAGGACTAAATAAGTTTTCTTTCATGGCGTTGGTTATATAGTAAAGTTCTATATATCTGTGTGTTGCCACTGTCCACTTCTGGGCTAGGGACCACCTCTCCAAACATTCATGTCCTCACCTGAAAAAAAGATGATAATGACAATATCTGCCTGCAAATGTGAGTGTGTGTATGTGTGCATGTGTGTGCATGGTGCTGGGATGCAACCTAGGGCCTCACGAAAGGCATGAGCTCTCCCACTGAGCTACACCCTCAGCCCACATGGTTGTCTTTGGAATTGAGTTAATTTACCTACAGTATCTTAGTACTGGGCTAGACATTATAAATGGAACAAATGGCAGCCATCCTTTAATCAAATCTATTTTTTCTTTTTGTCTTTTTGTCTTTTTGAGACAGGGTCTCACTATGCAGTTCAGGCTGGCCTTGAACTCACTTTGTAGCCCAGGCTGGCCTCAAACTCGCAACAATCCTCCTGCCTCAGCCTCCTGAGTGCCGGGATTACAGGCGTGCGCCACCATGCCCGATATATTTAATCAAACCTAGCAAAGTTCTCAGAAGTGGTACCACGTTTGCTTAGCTTTTTCTCCAGAACCTAGACCTCTCCATCCTCATGACACACAATAAAGGATGGGTGAATGTCCAATGAAAAACAAAACATTGGGATTCCTTGGCCTAGTCCTGAAGTAAACTGTTTGAATGCGTAGAGAGAAGTATGAGGGGCATGCATGCCAAGCCGAGGGAACAAAATGGACAAAGACTCAGAGTCCACAGGTAGTGCCAAGTAGCCAGGGCCAGGCGAGGAGAAAGTGGCCGCAGAAAAGGCAGAATTCAGTGGTAGAGAGTGTGGAGGGCTCTGAAGACCAAGCCAGGAGTTACTGCTTTTGTTGGGCAGGCAATGGGCCCCTGAAGTTTCATCAGGAAAGTGTGGGTCTCCTAAGTGCCTTGAAGGAGGGTTGCTTGCAATTGTGTGGACAGAGGGTAGGTGGCAGGGGGGACATAACGACAACAAGGCTAGTGATGTGGAATCACGGCATCTGGGGCTGGCCAGGTTTGACTTAGAATTCACCTTTTTTTTTTTTTTTTTTGGTTTTTCTCCGGTACCAGGAACCGAACTCACGACCTTGCACTTGCCAGGCAGGCGTTTTGCTGCTGAGCTAAATCCCCAGCCCCAGAATTCACCTTTTTCATCCGCAAGGTGGAGACAATGATCATTGTCAGTCATTGTCTCTGTCCACAGCCTCACTTCTCAGTCTCACTGTGAAACACAAGCCGATTTACAAGCGCAGATGACAGCTGTTGCTGATCTAGCTGCAGGGTGGGCCTGGAAGCTGCAGCCTCCCACGCTGATCACCACCGAGGGAGAGTGGGAGGAGGCTCAGAACCCATAGCACCCCTGTCATCAATGACTTATGGGCATTGTCATGTCTGGGGACTTAAGACAATAAGTGCTGTCCAGCGCCCCTGGTAGTTTGTGCTTTCCGCCTGTCGCTAACAGGCGCTAATCACCCACCCCATCTTCAACAGCGCCACCACCTGGTGGACACCCTGCACCGCCGCTGCCCGGTGCTGCGCCGCTGGCTGCGCCGGCGCTGCGTGGTGTGCCAGGCCCCCGAGACGACCGAGTCCCACGTGTGCCCGACGCCAGACTGCCAGGCCGTGTACTGCCGGTCGTGCTGGGACGACATGCGGCAGCAGTGCCCGGTCTGCACGCCTCGCGAGGAGCTCTCCTCTTCCGCCTTCAGCGACAGCAACGACGACACCACCTACGCGGAGTGAAGGGCTGGGCCCGCTTCCCGCTCTGCTACACGCTTAATAAAGCGCCTTGTTCGCCCCTGCCGCCTGTGCTTCGTGGGGATCGGGGGTGGGCCGGGCGCTGCCCGAGAGCTTCCTCCGCTTGGGCGGGAAGGCAGCGAGGCTCCCAGGGAAGGGTGCGGACACCGGGCGAAGGCAGGCAAGGCGCGACGCCCAAGCCGATCGGACCCAGCTCCCCGCAGCCTAGCTGAGGCGCACCGCGTGGGAGGAGCCGCGGGAAAAGACTTTAGGACCCAGGGGCGGGCCTTTCCGGGGGCGGAGCGCGGCGGGGTGGAGCGCGGCTCCGGGGCCGGGCCGCTGCGGGGGTGGAGCCGGGCTGGTGGCCTTGAAGGAGGGGCAGGGTGGGCGGAGCCTGGCGGCTGAGCTGCGCGGCGCGCATCTCGCAGCAGACCCAGCGGCCGCGGCTCCTAAGCGCGCCGGCCAGCACCTGCTACCCCCCACCACCCGGGCGCCGCTGCCATGCGGCTGGCCCTGCTCTGGGCCCTGGGGCTCCTAGGTGCGGGCAGTCCTCTGCCCTCCCGGCCGCTCCCCAATACAGGTGAGTTTCGGGCTGGGTGGAGTGGTTGGAGGGCAAGCTGAGGGAGAGGCGCAGGGAAGTCGGGGGTTGGGTACGGGGTTCAGGGGTCGTGGAGAGCCCTGCAGAGTGAGGCCTGCCGGGTATGCTGCCCAGGCCTAGGGGCTGGCCTGGCGATGGAGCGCAGACGCGGAGGAGTGATGCTGGCGTCCCTGCCGGACGTCCTCTGCGTTGTCCCTGCACTTTAAAATTTGGGTGCCAGACCCCCAAGGGCGTGCCAGGGCCCCCCGCTTAGTGCTGGAAAGAGCGCCCCCCGCCAGCCCCCAGAACTGACGTCTGCGCTCCTCTGGGCCTAGCTGATCGCTCCACCCGGTGCCAGGGCGCCACGGGCACGGCTGCGGACTTGAGTGAAGAGGGTTCTTTCCAGCCCTTCATCTCGATGCCGGGCGGCCAGGCACCCCTCACCGTGGTGCAGCTGCCTCCACAGCCTGACTGAGCGGGAGGGCCTGGGAGGAGCCGGGAGGACGGAGCACCGGCCAGGAAGGAGGCTGGGACACCAGCTCCTCCTAGGAACTTTCACTTCCCGCTGCTGTCTTGGGCCGCTGGTGTCGTGGGCCGGGGGCCGGGGCGAGAGCAGGCGGGGGTGGAGTGTCCGGAGCCCAGAGGAGCATGAGGGGGGGCACTGGGGAGGAAGCGGAGGCTGTGAGGAGCGGGTGTGTCTGCCTGGGCATGAGGGGTGTTAGGGAGGTGGGGGTGTTTGCACTACTCACCCAGAGATGGGCGTTCCCGGCATCTGGGATGTGAGGAAAGGGAGGGCAAGCGGGCACCCAGCCACAAGGCTTCGCCCAGGCCTAAGAGAGGGCAGAGGGCGTTCCTAATGGGGGGGGCAGGGGAGGGTCCCTGGAAGAACCCGGGATTGGCCAGAGGGGGACAAGGAAGGGCGGCAGGCTGGACTTCTTTCTCTGGGGACTGGTAGCTGGGTGGGTGGGTGGAAAGCACACATTAGAGAGACCCCTTCTGTTCTGGTGCTGTGCATTGGGTCTCAGCATGCACCGCACAAGGCCAGCCACACCAGCCCTGGTAGGGGTTCCCTCAGCACTCTCTTGGGGTGTCCTCAGACCCCACAGGTGGCACCAAGGAACAGAAGGCCAAACCAGAGAGGGCCTTGAGTGGACCCTTGGAGCCTCAAGTCCTCCAAGACCACCACCTGATTACCCTAGCAGAGATGCTTCAGGTGAGCTCCCCGCCTTCCCCAGTATCCAACAGGCCCACTCACTCCCACTAGCACAATCCAGGCTCTCAAGGCCAAAGCTTGAGCCAGCAAATGGAACGCATGGTAGCAGGGCCATTCCAGGTCTGGCTGCCTCCCCCGCCCCAGCACCTGGCTTTACTTACCTCCCTCTCTACACACACATCTGTCTGCCTCAGTCCCACCCAACCCATCAACAGACCCAGGAATCTGAGGCCAAACTTGCTTCTTTCTCCTCACGTCTGTGTTCTTGGTGAGGGGATTTGGAAAAGGTCAGGCAGGCCCTCACCCACCCCCCTTCTACAGCTGAGTCAGAGGAAGGGCTGGAGTGTCTTCTATGATGCTTCCTCTCTGGGCAGGAAGCCGAGAAGGGGCGGCTCAGATACCTTCCTTGACCTCCCCACACAAGCCCCCAGAACAATGCCCCAGGCCAGGCAGGGCTTCCTGACCCCTCCCTTGGGATCCCCACCAATGACCTAATCTCTGGGGCTCTCCTGAGGGCCTGAGGTTTTCTGGTTAAGCCAGTAGGGGTTGTGGGCAGAACTAGGGAGGTGACAAGCCCTCTGGTGCCCACAGACAAGTTTACCTGAGGCCCTGAGGGTCAAATTGGAGCTGGACGGGGAGAGTCACATCCTGGAGCTGCTACAAGACAGGTGAGATGACAGAAATAATAATAACCACATGGCGAACAGCTCACATAGTACTTACTATGCTCCAGATGCAAAGTACATGTGCTCACACAATGCCCATGACAACCCTGTAAGGTAGAAACCATATGCATTCGTGTCCTCATTTTGACAAAATATGTCATTTCGATATATGACAAAATCAAGGCACAAAGAGGCTAAATGACTTGCCCAGGGTCACACAGCTAAGGGTAAGTAAAAAAACAGACGGAAACCCAGAAAGCCTGACAAAGTCTGTGGGGCAGCCCCTTTGCTGTGCTGCCTTGGGGGAAATGGGGAGGTTGGGGGTATTACTGGCCCCCAGCCTCCGCTCCACCATCACAGGCCTCAGCTTGTCACTGCACTGCTCCCCGAACCAACCTGGCCACTGCCCTCCTTTTCCTTCACTCCATAGGGACCTGGTCCCAGGCCAGACAACTGCAGTGTGGTACCAGCCCAATGGCACTCGGGTGGTCAGCAAGGGACACACTCTGGTGAGTCGGGCCTTCTCGTGTCCTGCTTCTGGCCTGGGCGAAGGAGAGGTGGGCAGCTGGAGAGGGCAGCCTTGGAGGAAGTGGGAGGACATTGTGTTTCTTTACCAGCAAGCTGGGCTCTTAGGTTCAAGTGCTGCTTTTCCCTGAGAGTTGACACCACCTGCTCTCTCTCTGCTGTAGGAGAACTGCTGCTACCGGGGCAGGGTGTGTGGCCATAAGGGCTCCTGGGTCTCCATCTGCACCTGCTCCGGGCTCAGGTATGGTAGGTGGAGTCTGTGACCATGGAAAAGGGAGACAGATGTGGAGCTGAAATACGTTCTCACTTCCTGTCTTTTTCCTTAGGGGCTTGGTGGTCCTCTCCCCAGAGCGAAGCTATGCCCTGGAGCTGGGGCCTGGGGACCCTCAGGGGCCTCCCACTGTCTTCAGGGTCCAAGATTTCCTCCTGCCAGGTCGCAGTGGCTCCCTGAGCTGGTATGCACCTATGCCCACGATGGCTCCACCAGAGCTCCCCCTGGGACAGCGACACAGTCGCAGGGTAAGGAGGGGTGGCAGGAGGGCTGGGCTTTGGTTGTCTGCAGGGTTGACCCGGCCTGCAGCGTGCAGTTCACAGTGATAACAGCGAGCTGATGGAGCCTTTTTCACAAGTCAGGCACTCTGTAAGCATTGCTGCCTTACTCTCCCAGCAAGCCTCGGAAGGAGTTGCTGTCAGTAGCTCTATTTCAAGTGAGGGAACTGGCTCAGAGAAGTTAGGTGACTTGTCCAAAGCCATGCTGCTAGTAGGTGACATGTCCAGAATCCAGAAGCAGGTGTTCAACTCAGACTCATCTGCCTTATAATCCCATTTTCAGAGCACTAACTTGGGGGTAGGAAATACATAGTTACCAACCAGAAAGCAATTTCCTAATTTATAAAATAGCAATAATAATACTACTTTGGCTAAGCATGGTGGTGCGTGCCTATAATCCCAGCAGTCGTGGGGAGGCTGAGGCAGGAGGATCACCATGAGTTTGGGGCCAGCCTGGACTACATAGTGAGTTCAAGGCTAGCTTGAATTACATCGTGAGATCCTGTCTCAAAAAACCAAAAGAAGATAAAAACAAAAAGAAAACATACTACTTTATAGGACTGCTGTGAAGATTAAATGAAAAAAAAATATGTACAGTGCTTAAAATTGTGCTTACCAGATGGCTTTTGATAGTGTCACCTATTATTTATTATTTTTAAAAATTTAGCCAGGCTTGGTGATGCACATCTGTAATCCCAGCACTTGGGAGGCTGAGGCAGGAGGATCGTTGCAAGTTCGAAACCAGTCTGGGCTACAGCGTGAGCTCAAGGCCGGCCTGAACTGCACAGCTAGACCCTGTCTCAAAAAGAAAAAAAAAAAGGCTGGGTGTGGTGGCTCACGCCTGTAATCCCAGCACTCGGGAGGCTGAGGCAGGAGGATCATTGCAAGTTCGAGGCCAGCCTGGGCTACAAAGTGAGTGCAAGGCCAATCTGAACTACATAGCAAGACCCTGTCTCAAAAAGACCAAAAGAGAAAAAAAGAAAAAAAAAAAAAATTTAGAAAATTTCTGAGTTTGGAATTGGAAAAGTGGGGCTGTACTCCCAGCTCTGGGTCCACTTTGGGAAGGTCCCAGGCCTCTCTGGTTCTCTGTACTTCATCTGTAAAATGGGCTTATCACCCTCTCATGTCTGACTATGCAGGGAGGAGTGGCCACAGCTTGGGCAGCCCTGAGGCTGCTGGCCGAGACTCAGGTTTGGCTGATACTCCCTCCTTCCTGTTCACAGCAGAAGCGGGATGTGCTCACAGAAACCAAGATCATTGAGTTGGTGATTGTAGCTGACCATTCAGAGGTGAGCCTGCTGGTCCCTGCAGTTCCGCCCTGTGCTGGACCCACTCTGCCTCCTTTCATGTGGCTGTCCTGGCCCGCAGGTCAGGAGGTTCCCTGACTTCCAGCGCCTGCTGAACCGCACCCTGGAGGTGGCCTACCTGCTGGACGCAGTGAGTGTGGGGCTGCATGGGAGCCTCACAGTCCCCTGCCTGTGGCAGCGTCTTTTCTGAGCCTCAGCTCTCTCTCAGTTCTTCCAGCCCCTGAATGTGCGGGTGGCGCTAGTGGGCCTGGAGGCCTGGACCCAGCACGACCTGGTGGAGATAAGCTCAAACCCAGCTGTGACACTAGAAAACTTCCTCCGCTGGCGCCGGGCAAACTTGCTGCCTCGAATGCCCCATGACAGTGCCCAGCTGGTGACGTAAGGCCCCCAGGCTCAGGCAGGGGAGCCTGGTTTTACCCTGTCCTGGCCACTTTTATACTCCTTCAATTCTCTATCTCTATCCTGAGGCCTGAACACCACGGCCTTGGGCCATGACCCTGACCTCTGCATTTCACAGTGATATCTCATTCTCTGGGCCCATGGTGGGCATGGCCATTCAGAACTCCATCTGTTCCCCGGACTTCTCAGGAGGTGTGAACATGGTGAGTTACGTGCCGTTCTCCTCCTCATTCCCAACTCAGTTCCTCCCAAATGTGAGCCATTTATTCACTGAAACTCCCCTACCAAGTTGGCCAACGGCAAAACTGCAGATGTGGAGGGCAGAGGTACATGATGTGGCCTCTGCTTGTCAGGGCACCCTTCACTGGGGCCAGCTGGTGACAGTCTCCACAGTTGCGACCAGTGAGGGCTTCCCATTTCTGAGAGGATGGGGATGGGGTGCCCTGAGACCCAAAGATCAGAGGTGATCTCCAGGGGCCACATAATGGGAGGGGGACGGAGCTAGAACCCAGGTTTCCTGCCCTGCAGGCCTGGACCCTACTCCCACTTCAGAAGGAGGGAACTGAGCCTTCAGGGCAGGCTGGGCATTGAGGTGGAGTCAGGCTGGGGCTGGACCTGGCACATCCTTTCCCCAATGACAGGATCACTCCACCAGCATCCTGGGAGTTGCTTCCTCCATAGCCCATGAGTTGGGCCACAGCCTGGGCCTGGGCCACAGTCCGCCTGGGAGTGGTTGCCCCTGCCCAGGCCCGGCTCCTGCCAAGAGCTGCATCATGGAGTCCTCCACAGAGTGAGTGACCGCAGGACAAAGAGGAGGAAGCGGGTGGGCCGGGAGGGGTCCTCGCCCAACCTTCCTTGCTACCCTCCCCAGCTTCCTGCCGGGCCTGAACTTCAGCAACTGCAGCCGGCAGGCCTTGGAGAAAGCCCTCCTGGCGGGGATGGGCAGCTGCCTCTTCGAAAGGCTGCCCGGCCTGCCCTTGGTGAACACTTCCTGCGGAAACATGTTCGTGGACCCCGGCGAGCAATGTGACTGTGGCTTCGCAGATGTGAGCCCCTCAGTACAGCCTTGCCCGCTTACTTGTGCAGGCTCCCAAGGCCCCTGAGTACCTTTCTGTCTGCAGAGACAGCACATGGATGGGGGTGTTCCAGCTCTGGCTTGCTGCGTGGCTTTGAGCAGCCTCTCGCAGGTCTACTCTCTGGAGCAGAGCTGGGGGCTCTCAGGCCCAGCCTACTCTGATGTTGCCCCTCGGTGCCCTTGTCCACAGGACTGCACCGATCCCTGCTGCGATCATGATACCTGCCAGCTGAGGCCAGGGGCACAGTGTGCATCTGATGGACCCTGTTGTGAAAATTGCCAGGTGGGGACAGACTCAGCTGGCTGGTGGGAGCTCACCTGTTGTGGGCCAGGGTGAAAGGTCATTCTGACCTGCAGGCCTGGCTGAACTTGCCCGGTACCCACACTGATGCTCATCCACCTCCACAGCTGCGCCCAGCTGGCTGGCAGTGCCGCCCTAGCAGAGGCGACTGTGACTTGCCCGAGTTCTGCCTAGGAAACAGCTCCCAGTGCCCCCCTGACATCAGCCTGGGGGACGGTGAACCCTGCGCTAGTGGGCAGGCTGTGTGCATGCACGGCCGCTGTGCCTCCTATGCCCAGCAGTGCCGGTTGCTCTGGGGACCTGGGGCCCAGCCCGCCACACCACTTTGCCTCCATACAGCCAACACACGGGGCAATGCCTACGGAAGCTGTGGGCGCAGCCCCGATGGCAGCTATGTGCCCTGTGCCCCTCGGTGAGTAAGAAAGCCGGCTCCATCTCTGGGTTTGTGGGCGCCTTGGCCCTCTCCCACTAACCATCCTTGCCTTCCTCTCCACCCCCAGAGATGCCATTTGTGGGCAGCTCCAGTGCCAAGGGGGAAGGACACAGCCTCTGCTGGGCTCAGTCCAAGATCTGTTTTGGGAGACCCTGGAAGCCAATGGGACACAGATCAATTGCAGCTGGGTGCACCTGGACCTGGGCAGTGACGTGGCCCAGCCCCTCCTGACTCTTCCTGGCACCACCTGTGGCCCTGGCCGGGTGAGCAGCCTGGGTGGGCACAGCCAGATAGGAAGGGAAGCAGTGTCAGGCCTCACTGCCCACTGGGCAGACCATGCAGGCTCTGCAGGAAGCTGTGCTCCCACCGCCCGCAGAGCGTTTTCATCTTCCCCGTGAGCCACAGGGTCCCGGGCCCAGTCAAGTTCTGTGAGGGGTGAGCTCTGCCCCTCTCTTCCCCGGACAGGTGTGCATCAGCCAGCGATGCCAGCCTGTGGATCTCCTGGGAGCACAGGAATGTCGACGCAAATGCCACGGGCATGGGGTGAGAGCTGGTACCGGGCAGCGGGAAGGGGCCTTCAGGGAGACAGCAGGGGCTGTGGGGATGCCAGGCCTGTGGTCTAAGCCTTCACGCTGCCACTCCCTAGCTGTGTGGCCTGGGCAGGTTGTTTGCCTCCATGAGCTCAGTTTCCTCACCCACCAAATGGGCAGAATAACAGCACCCACTCCCTCAGGCCTCCGAGAAGAGTGCTAAAGCTCCTAGCCCAGGGCCCCACAGATGGCCACTTCCGCATACGCGTTCATTCGATCGGACTTCCTCTGACGTGGCTCTCTCCAGACTGGCTCCCTCTGCCCCTCACCCCTTCCAGTCTTGGAAATCTCAGGCCTTGGGAAGCTGGAGACAGGGACTTAGCCCCAGAGCGCAGAGGCCTTCCACATCCACCCTGTACCTCTAGGTCTGTGACAGCAACCAGCACTGCCACTGTGAGGAGGGCTGGGCGCCCCCCGACTGCATCACCCAGCTCCGAGGTAGGGGGAGGGCAGAGGGGCCTGTCCTTTACCCTCCTGCTCCTGCCACCCCTCTTCCTCGCCCCTTCACTGCTGTGTTCCCTGACTTTGGGGCCCTCATACCCTTCACGGTCTCCAAGGCTTCCCCTCACCCCTTGCCCCTGCTCCCTCCTTGGCCCCGGCCTGCCTTCAAACCTGACCTCACCCACAGCAACCAGCGCCCTGACCACAGGCCTGCTCCTCAGCCTCCTACTGTTGCTGGTCCTAGTGCTACTTGGTGCCAGCTACTGGTACCGTGCCCGCCTGCACCAGCGGTTCTGTCAGCTCAAAGGGTCCAGCTGCCAATACAGGTATAAGCCGCACCTCCCTGTGGCCATGTCCTTCAGCTGGAGACAGTTCTGAAGCCCACTGCCCGCTGGCAGCCCCTGCCACCTGTTTTCCCAAGCTCCTTGCACCACACCCACACACTGCCCTTCCCTGTGTGTCCACCGACCCTTCACCTCCCTGGTGGGTCCCTGTGGGGAAACTGGGGTGTTGGGGCCATTTCCCTCAGGGCCCCAGTGCAGTGCAGAGTGGGACCCCTCCCTCAGGCCAGTCAACTTCTCCCCGACCTTAGAGTAGCCTAAAGCACACAGGGCTGCTCTCCAGAGGATGGCAGAGTGTTAGCCGGCCCCAAGGGCAGCGGATAAGGCCCTGAGGGTCTCAGGCGGGGCTCTCATCCTGTCTTTCCTCATGCTCAGGGCAGCCCAGTCTGGTCCCCCAGAACGGCCAGGACCCCCGCAGAGGACCCAGCCGATGCCAGGCACTAAGGTGAGTTCCAGATGCCAGAGGAAAGGGACCCCACCTCGCCTGGCACCCAGCTTGGGCCCTAAGGGAAGGTGGGCATTGAAGGTTCTAGACTCAGAGAAAGGCTGGCATTGCCAGAGTCAGCAGCAGAGGCACAGACTGCAACCTGGAGCAGGGAGGGGCTGGCACCTAGAGGAGGCTCTGCCGAGCTCTTTCAGCTGCCAAGCTGGTAGCTTGGAGAGGTGGGTCTATCCGTGCCCCTTGCAGTGACCGGTGCAGGGGACAAGGGGGGCAAAGGGCCGTCAGTGTGCCAGGACCTGACAAGGCCAGGTCACCATGTGTAGGAGGGCTGGTGAGTGCCCCTGGCCTGAGCTCTCTGGCTCTGATGACAGGAGTGTGTGTGGGGGGTGCCTGCATGCCCGCCTCACCACTTGTCACCCCCTGCATGCAGCTAGTTAATGCATGCCCTGCCCTCACTGCCCCTTGGGCCCTGGCCGCCCCTGCCTGGCACCACTGACCCCTCTGTGCCCACGTCTGTGTCTCTGCTCTCCCTGCCCCTCTGTGCCGTCTGCTCCTCCTGCCCTCTCAGCAGGCTCTCAGCTTTCCGGCCCCCCCCTCCAGGCCGCTGCCGCCTGACCCTGTGCCCAAGAGACTCCAGGTAAATCTGGTCTGGGCCCTGCCCTGGCCTAGGACAGGGGGGAGGCTTGGTGCCCAACTGCGTTCTTATCCCTGCTCCCTGCCAGTGGTGATCGTCATTAGGTGAACCAGGGTGCCCCTCAGCCTTCTGACAGCCCCAGAAGCAGCAAAGGGTGAGCCTCCTGCCTTGGTCTCTGTCACCATCTGGTGGTCAGCGGCGGGACTGCAGCCGGCCAGGGACTCCACGGTTGAACCACACCTCCCTCCCAGGAGGCATCTGCTGGCATGCACATTGCCCACCCTGTGCATGCCCCCATTCTCGTCTCCTGCCTGGCTGACTTTGCATTCGACCCCAACTCCTCTGGGGAACCTCTGCATGCCCGCGGCCCCTGGCTGTGCTCTCACCGTCACTGCCCCTCTCTCTGTCCAGGCTGAGCTGGCTGATCGACCCAATCCCCCTACCCGCCCTCTGCCCGCCGACCCTGTGGTGAGGCGCCCGAAGGTAACAGTGGGGGAGAGAAGGGCATGGCCTCTCCCCCCCACCTAGGGCTGTGGTGCTGGTGGCCGTGGCGAGATGTCCCCTCTGTGCCTAAGAGCACATATCCTGGTGGTGCCTTTAATGGTGTGCTGTGACAGGTTTGTTTGGACACAAGGCTGAGCTGCCTCCAAGCTGGTGCTCCCCAGCACCAGTGCATCGGGGGTGGGCACCACAGCGGCTCCCCAAACTGGCTCCTGCCTTCTTTCCCTCAGTCTCAGGGCCCTGCCAAGCCCCCACCCCCACGGAAGCCACTCCCTGTAGACCCCCAGGGCCGGTGCCCATCGGGCGACCTGCCTGGCTCTGGAGCTGGAATCCTTCCCTCGGTGGTCCCCTCTAGGTAGGTGAGGAAGGGGATCAGAGGGGGAAGGTGGGGCGAGTGATCTGGAGAAGAGCGCCTATGACCTTTTTCTCGGCTTCCTGACTGCAGGCCAGCGCCGCCGCCCCCAGCAGCGTCCTCCCTCTACCTCTGACCCCTGCGAAGGTTGCGCTGCCTTCAACTCGGACTTAGGACTTAAAGAAGCCGAGCCTCCACTGGAGTCCTCCAGGATGGCTGAAGGAGCTCAGTCTGGACGCTGTCAGGGTGTTAAGCGACAGCATGGGGGACTCCCCACCCCCTGGGGAGAGGCTGTGACTGGGCGGGGCCCAGGGAGGCTGCAATAAACGTGAGCTCTTGAGAACTCGCTGATCGCCTCCGAGTTTTTCTGCTGCTAGAAGCCGGGTCGCTCCTGCTGCGGTACCAGGTATGGCCGGCAGGGGGCACTGCCTCCACAGACCAGGGCGAGCCGGGGACAGTGGGAGTACCCGAGTGGGTCAGCTAGCACTTGTGCGGGGATGCTCGCTGCTAGTTCCCGTCCAGGTTGGAATGGCTCTTTATGCAATCCTGTGCTACCTGGAACTGTCCGCGCCTTGCCACCCTCCGGTCTCCAAGTCCTCGCCCCCAACGCTGGCCGGCACCCAGGGACGGCTATCGGCAAAGCGGCCAAGCTGTCAGACTTGCTTCCCCACCCTCTGACCAGTGGCTGGGAAAAGTAGATGTAACTGGTGTTCCCAGAGCCCCGGAGCCAGGGCGGAGCGGGGCGCGGCTCTTGGGATCCCAAGGCCGCGCACCTGACTCCTCGCCCTCCCCGCCCCCACCTGAGGGCGCAGAACAAAGGTGCTTTGTACCAGCCGCAGCCACCTCCTCACTCGGTCGTTGGGGCTGGGGCCGAGCGGGCCCCTTCCCAGATCCAAGTTGTGGGATGGCAAGGGCTAGGCGCCAGCCTCAAGGTGGGCATCTGACGCGCCACCTAAGGCTCCTTAGGAGCAAGGGTGACCCGGAAGGTTCTTTGTTTTTCCCTCGAACTATTCCCTAGATGTGCAAAGAAGAGGGGCAATGTGTGTAGGCAGCTGGACGTGTCGTGGAACCTCATCCAAGCCTCACTTTCCCCTGTTTGTTTATTTATTTATTTATTTGAGACAGGGTCTCGCTATGTAGTGCAGGATAGCCTCTAATTCACGGCGATCCTCCTGCTTGTCTCATGAGTGCTGGGATTACAGGTGTGCGCCGCCACGCCCCACTTCCCTAATTTGATGGTCTCCCTACCTTTTTTAGTCTCCCTACCGAGTCTCGCCTAGACTAGTCTTGAACTCGGGCTCTAGCTATCCTTCGGTCTCTGCCTCCCAAGTAGTTAAGACTACAGATTCCGACCACCTTGCACCGCCCTCCCCCCAAGCTTCTGATTCAGTCTACCTCTTAGTAACGCGGACTCGAAAGACTAGACCTGCTCCCTTAAAAGCATTCTGTGGAATGCGTCCCTGTCCCCGCCCCCTCGCAGTGCGCCGTAGCTCGGGTGAACCTGATGCTGGTGGCGGCGCCCCAAGGGTTAACAGAGTTGGCTCAGGGTGGAGAGGCGGGGACGCGTTTTCATTGGTGGAAAGTTATCCAGGGGGCGTGGCCAGGGAGTGTCCGCACCCCACCCCCTTTCCACAATCCCCCCTCCACTTTGTACCTTTCTCGCCCCGGCTGCGAAGCGGGCCGGGACCCGCCAGGCCAGACCGGACCGGAGCCCGGGGGCGATGCGGCTGCTGCCCCTGCTGTGGACTGTCCTCTGGGCCGCGCTCCTCGGGTCCCCTCTGCGGGGGGCCTCCAGCCTCCGCCACCCGATCTACTGGAACTCCAGTAACCCCAGGTAGCCGAGCCGAACCAGGAGAACGCCGAGCCGGGCCCACGCGCTCCAGGTTGTGCGCGCGCTCGCCATTCGCTCTCTGCGCGGCGCCGCCTTAGCCCAGCCGCGCGCCGGGGCTCCTTTGTTTGAGCCGGCGGGGGGAGGGGGAGAAGAGGGGGAGGGGCGAGGCCCGCCCTGGGTCTCCCCCCGCCCGCCTGTGTTGGGGGCGGGCGGGGGACCCCCGACCTGAAGGTGGTCGGTAGAGCTGGGACTCCGCCCCTCCGCCGCTTTTTGGAGATCCCCAGCCTCGCACTGGCCGCCCGTTGCACCGACGGGGCTGAGGAGGGGGCTTCGCGCTGCGGAAGAGCGTGGGCTGCTGTCCGGCTCACCGCGCCTCCCCGGGGCGCTCTCTGTCCTGATCTCACTTGGTATCTGCTTCCATCTCACTCTTTATGACCCTTCTATTTCTGTCTGGTCTCAACCCTGCCCTTCGAAGCTGAATCATTTCTGGCAAGTCGCTTGACCTCCTTAACCTCAGTTATGTCATCTGCAAAATGGGCTAATAATACCTAGCACCCTGGGAAGTCAGGCGGGCCAGCTGAGGTCATGTATGTGAAAAGAGATGCAAGCCTTACAGATAGCAAGGTTTCTTTCTCTCCTGAGCTGCCTGCCTTTGAACCTTGGTATTTTTTTGCTGTTTCCGTCCTTCTCCCCAGTTCTCTCTGCCTCTCTGCCTTCCCATCTGTTTTCCTTTCTGATTTTCTTCTTCAATCTGTGACTCTGCTCATTTGTTCACTAACATTTAATAAGCACATACTGTGTGCCAGGACCTGTGCAGGGTTGCTGGGATTGGCGAGGTGAGGAGACCCAGCCCTGCCAGCTGAGAGGCCAGGGACCCCAAGAGGCCCGGTGTGAGGACGTCATTGGCTCCAACAGGAGGGAGGAGAGTTATTGCTGTGCTCAGACTTTGCATTCCTCTCCCTGTGCTCCAGACCAGTGCCTCTGAGTCACTCTAGGGCCTGTAAACTTCAGGCTCCTCACCCCGAGGATACTTACTGGGGGGACCGTGGATACTTACTGCCATTGCCTCCTTCCAGGACCTGCGATTTGGTGGAAGGAAATCCAGAGGCCCTGACTTTGCTCAGCCTGTGTTCTAGGAGGTCTGGCCTGAGCCCCAGCGTCCTCTCTAATCGGAACTCCCGAGGCAGGTGGTACAACGACCACCCACTGAGGGACGCTTGGGGGCCTCTCATTCATTAATCAGGCTTCCTCTGTGGCTTGGCTGTGTGTGCAGTCGGGGCGTTTGGTACTGTGGAGGCCGCCCCTGGCCCATTCCGTCCCACCTGTAGCAGGCAGCACCCAGGGGTGAGGAAGAGTTCCTGAGAAGGCTGGAGACCCGAGAGTGTGGCACTTCTTTACCCTGGGGGAGAGAGAGGGAGAGGGAGAGAGCGAGAAAGAGAGAGGGGGAGGGAGAGAGGGAGAGAGAACGCAGTACCCACTGCTGCCTTCCCTTTTCCCCGTGCACCCCAAGACCATCAGTCAGGTCGTGTCTGGTACTGAGGGTCCTATCCAGTCTCTAACTGCTCTGTGGCCCCTTGTCTGTTCCCTGCCCCTCTGTCCCTTGTCTCTGCACATGCATCCACCCGACAGTTACCGAGCAGGGGTGCTGTCCCAGGCTAAAGAGGGCTGGGGCGGCACCAGTCTTGAAGGTCAGGAGTGGTGGCAGCCTTGTCCCTCGTCAGCAAACTGTGTGGTACCCACACTGAAGTCCCCAGTGGCTCCGGACCCTTGACTTGGTCGTCAAGCCTGTTGCTTGAACTCTGTCTCGGGGGCTGTCAGTCTGGGGAACTCAGAGCTGCTCTGTTCCCAGTGGGCAGGAGGGAGGCCGGCTGGAGCCCTGCAGAGATGCGCCCCTGACCTCCAGGCCCCAGTGAGCTGGGCCAGAAACCCCTCAATCTGTGCCACCTTGTGCCCGCAGGCTGCTTCGTGGAGACGCCGTGGTGGAGCTGGGCCTCAACGATTACCTAGACATCTTCTGCCCACACTATGAAAGCCCAGGGCCCCCTGAGGGCCCCGAGACCTTTGCTTTGTATATGGTGGACTGGTCAGGCTACCAGGCCTGCCAGGCAGAGGGGGCAAATGCTTTCCAGCGCTGGAAGTGCTCCATGCCCTTTGCTCCCTTTGGCCCTGTTCGATTCTCGGAGAAGATTCAGCGCTTCACACCGTTCTCCCTGGGCTTTGAGTTCTTGCCTGGAGAGACTTACTACTACATCTGTAAGTGGTGGGGTGCACGGTGTGCCTCTTGGGGAAGGCAAGAGGAGTGGAGAGGCTGAGGGGAGAAGGAAGGAGAGACTGGGCAGGAAGGGGCCCTAGGGAGCCCAGGCAGGGGCTGGCCAGAGTGGAGAGCGGAGACAGAGGAGCTAGGCAGGGGACAGGGGGACGAGCGAGGGCCATGGATGCGGCTGGTACCGGACTGTGGCTCCAAGGTAAGGAGAAGCCATCGGGGGCCTGGAGAGAGGAGAAGCGGGGAGGGTCTGAAGCTGTTGGCGGCACACAAAGGGGTGACTCCCGTGCTAACTCCTTTTTCCCAATTTCTCCCCAGCTGTGCCAACCCCGGAGAGTTCTGGTCAGTGCCTGAGGCTCCAGGTGTCTGTCTGCTGCAAGGAGAGCGGTAAGTGGGAGGGTTGGTGGAGGATGGGAGCCACCCCGTGGCCAGCCTGAAGCCCTGGGGAAAGAGGGAAGGAATGGGGAGAATCCAGAGCACTGGGCTCTGAAGTGTCCAGGGGGTGGGCTTCAAGCTGTGGCTTCTCCTCCCCCACTTAGTCTCGTGGGAGCTTCCTCTGCACCCCTATTTTAAGCTGGAGACTTGTCTCCTTGGAGAAGTCTTGAAATTGAGGAGACTGTGCCAGGCATGGTGGCGCATGCATGTAATTCCAGCACTCGGGAGGCTGAGGCAGGAGGATTACTGTGAGCTTGTGAACAGTCTGGACTACATAGTGAGTTCAACCTGAACTGCAGAACGAGACCCTGTCTCAAAAAAAAGAAAAGAAAAGAAAAAAAAAGAAATTGAAGGGACTGTTGGTAGTCTCTGTTTCGGGGAGACTGGGAAGTTAAGGCTTAGGAAGTTGATCATGGGAAGACAGTGGCTTGTCTGGGAGACCCTGGAGAAGGAGACTCAAATGAACTATTAAAAGGAAGAACAGGGAGGACCTGCTGAGGAAGTGGGAGGACCCAGCAGTGCTTGCCTCCCCTTCACAGGCTCGGAGTCAGCCCATCCTGTTGGGAGCCCTGGAGAGAGTGGCACATCTGGGTGGCGAGGCGGCCACGCTCCTAGCCCCCTCTGTCTCTTGCTACTGCTGCTGCTCCCAATCCTGCGTCTCCTGCGAGTCCTGTGAACAAGGCAGACCCTCCCGTGGCCCCAAGGAGCCAGAGCTCTCCAACAGCCCCTGGAGGACGGGTGCCCAGGGAATGCCCAGCCAGGCAGGCCAGATGGAGCACTGATGGGGGGTCAGAGGGCCTGAGTGACCCCTGCAGGTAC